AAGAACCTCATTACAATTCATAATGTACAAATTAAGCTTTTAATGTGATTTAAACTTTAAAAGTACATTAAAATAGAAACAACACACAGTTCTTCAACATGGAAAGCAATAGAAATGTAGTAACTATGTAATTTCCCCAGATAATTCTTTCATATCGGGCTCTGCGCTTTGCAGGGCTGTGGGACACAGGACAGATAGGCTATTCATTCCTACAACTTGTTAATTCGTTCCTATGACTTATTAATTTGTGGCCACTATCCATGTTTGATTTGTGACCGACACTGACTATACGTTTTCCCAGAGCATTCAATGATGTCACTAAACGATGCTGCCACAACTAAATAAGAGCATCGTTCACGAGTTTCTGCATGTACCTAACTATCCTAGGCACAGCTTTTCAAGCTCTGGGACAAAATGGGATGCTTTAAGGAAAATGTATAGCCTATGTAAGCAATAGGCCTAAATAAAAATAACAATTTGTTTTCATAAAAAAAAAAAGCAAAATATATCTGGCTTAAATAATTAAGCTAACAGATTTAAAACAGAAGTGTGGCGCGGCGCTCCATAAACAAGTTTTTTTATGTTTCAGCTGTTCGATCGCGCCGGCACCTCACGCGCACACACCCCACATATTCTAGCAATTCAAACTTACATCGCAGTCTGTTCATTATCAAAATAAAATACTGTCAACTAAACATATAAAAGGTTACACTGGTCAGTTTAAATAGACCGTAGTATACCGGTCCACTCATTGCTCATGTGGAGAGGATTATATTTTCCGTCTATATGCGAATGCGTGTAAAGTACAAGCCTAGTTTACATTATAAATAATAGTTTAACATTCAAATACATTGCGAATATGGAAACATTTGTATTTGTGCCGAATGAGATGAGAGTAATAACCTCCAAATACATCCAGCCAAACCCGCGCTCGCTTCGTCTCGTATGCACGCAAGCATGCACTGTCACGATCTAGTGCACTGTAAATGCCGGATTTTTAAAAACAAATAGGCCTTCCGCAACGCAAAAATTCAAAATCTGACATTTTCCGGAACAGGATCCAGCAGGATCAAATTAAGTACTGGTCGTAATACTCAGATAAAAATGTTTCATGTGAGCAACAGTGTGTTTTGCTGCAGCAGCGCCGATGGAAGCGGTTCACTGACTGCGCAGCACAGCCACACACGCCACAGTTACGTTTAGGATCATTTTATTTTAAATGCCATAATGTCAGTTGAAAACATTGCAATTGTGTTTTAAAATACAACGAGCACCACGAAACCATTTAAAGAGGCGCGTTCAGCGGTCTCCGTGACGGGATAGGAAACAGTCACTAATGATCTCAAACGAGCTCTATTCATTTTATCAAATGATCATAATCACATCTATTCATTTTACAATCCTGCTACTAGCATTTTATTCAGACTAAATCCCCTTTAAATCGGGTGAGAAAGCGGGGGGGCGGGGGATTTTGCACATCCTGTCATGCTGCATAGACGCATTTTGCAGCATTAAGGTTGACGATTAATCGATTAATTGATCGTCAATTTAAACGATGATCGATCATGGAAATATTGAAAATTGACATCCCTACCTGCAATAATACAATAATACAAAAAACTACAGTAAAACAAATAAATAAAAATGCTACATACATTGTATAAAGTAATCAAATGTATAAAAACTGCATATTCTTCACTGTGTAAATTAAATATATATATATTTCTTATTAAAGTTAGAAAAGTGATTTAGTCAAGAGCAGTAAGAGATTTTCTCACTTTTGTTGTTTGATTAACATGAATGGAAGACAGCAGGAATAATAGACTGCTATCACTTTAAGAGCTACCCAGATCCAATATACTGTTACACATGCTTTCTTTCTCAGCCGCTTGTTTTCACTTAAGACCTAAATTACTGTTTATGAGAATACTTGCAAAGACAGCATTTTGACACATACAAGTGTGTGTATTTAAGCATTCAAGTCCTATAAAGCAGCAAAAATAATTCCGTTCAACACTCCAGCGCTCTATGAGCATCGTCTTCATGCTCAGAATCAGTTTCTCAGACAGCGCATGCATATAGTGAAATGAGTTGTCTTTCGCTGCTGATTGTGTTTCAACAGCTTAAAATCACTTGTTTTTTAACTGCTTAAAAGGGTGGTTGATTGCGATTTCACTTTTTTTAACGTTAGTTAGTGTGTAATGTTGCTGTTTGATCATAAACAATATCTGCAAAGTTCCGAAGCTGAAAGTTCAATGCAAACGGAGATATCGTCTTTTAAAATTCTGGCAGTTTAATGCCTACAAAAATGACTGGTAAGGGACTACAACGAGTTACTTCCCAGGTCCGTTACGTCAAGAACCCAGAATTTTACATAAACCCCGCCTCCGGGAACACGCATCAGAGGGGGCGAGGCCATGCTGCGCTGCTTTAGAGAAGAGGAAGAGAAAACTAGGGGTGCACGTAAAAATCTATTCATATATGAATCGCGATTCTGTCTTCTAACGATTCTATTGTATTCACAAGTTTCAAAATCAATGTTCTAAAGCTGCAGTTCTTAATACTGTTCCTGGCCTCGCCCTGCTCTGCACACGCTCTGCATCTCTCTCTCTCTCATTCAGATCATCAGCTCAGTGAATACACTTATTTTCACATACTATAGCTATGAGACGAGTTATACATGGTTTATATATCACATGCGTTATACATGGTTTATATATTGCATGTGGTTGCCGAACTGTATTAAAGCTTTAATCAGAATAAAACCGTATATTATAAGCTAACAGAAGCAGTACCATTTACAAATAACAGCGTATCTAAAAGTATGAGACAACAACAAACAAAAATCTTAGGCCTACCATTAAAAGCCATGCTTGCACAGGTTCTGCACGATCCTCTTCACTAATATCCTCCGCGTCTCAATCAGGCTCAAATTGATAAGCAATATAGATGACGTCATTGTTTACAATACAACCGGAGCACATGCCGCTATGTTGAGGGGCGGGATGTTTAGACGCGCGCTAGAGGCGGTTTAGCCAATCACAACACACTGGGCCAGCTAATCAATCAGAGCCCATCGTGTATTTCTGAGGAAGGGGGTTCATAAAAGCAGGAAATGATCAGCGTGTTCAGAGGAGAAGGGACAGCGCGGTGTGGAATAAAAGTAAATTATGTGAAAAATAATGTGTTTTTTAACAAACTAAGCATTAACATATGTTAGACTGCACACCATAAACACAATCAAGCCTAGAAAAAAAACATGACCAAGTTTTCATGACCACGTAGCACAAATCTCTACCGATTGACAAATTTCTACCAGGTAAACTGGTATAGCGCCCACCTCTATGCCCTACGTCTCTAACAGAGACCTCTTCGGTTGTTTTTTCCACCTTTTCCTTTTTCCACTTGACTGATCAAAAACTGTGGTTTCCCACATAAATAGCCTTCTTGTTTCCACTTTTTTAAGTGCAGGAAGTGGATGGACAGGTTGTTGACAGAAAACAATAACATACCACAGACATACAGATAATAACCCAGCTCTCATCCTTCACTCACTTGTGCAATGCGCTGGGTGGCAGCTTGGTTTTCTCCATTTGGCCATAGCAGCTGGTTTTGGCCTCCGGGATCTCCCCAAACTCTTCCAACATGGCTGCAGCTGCCGTGGTTATAATCCCAAGCCCATCTCGAACCCGTGCCTCAAGAGGATAGTCCCAGTCATCGTAGGATACAGAGATCATTCCAGAGGGGAATGAATCTGGAGTGATGTCTGGGTTGCCCGTGGTCAAGCTAGGCACGATCCAGATGTAGCCGAAACCGGTCAGACCCAGTGATCGGGCCTCCTCCAAGATGTAACCCGCCTCGTCCTTGGAGCAGTACAAGAGGATGACTGGAGACTGCACCTTCTTCAGCTGGATCTGGGTCTTGGAGTCCCCATCTACGGCGTCCAGGGTGATGGTGTGCTGGAGGTCCCAACCGACAAAGCTGTTGTCGACTGTGGTCTTCAGGATGGCAATGAAATCCTGGTAGCCTGGGAACTTGCTGGTCACTATGGAGAAGATGTGCCAATCATATTCTTCCATGATGTTGAGCATGAGCAGCGCCTCCTGCTGGATGGAGGCCCCAAACTGGAAGAATGTAGATTTTACATCCTGTTGAACAAAGAAAGATAAAAAGAACTGTCACAACATATATAGCATATAACATATAACAAATATGTGACCCTGGAGCACAAAACCAGTCTTAAGTAGCACAGGTATATTTGTAACAATAGCCAAAAATACATTGTACAAGTCAAAATTATCGATTTTTCTTTTATGCCAAAAATCATTGGGAAATTAAGTAAAGATCATGTTCCATGAAGATATTTTGTAAATTTCCTACCATAAATATATAAAAACTTAATTTTTGATTAGTAATATGCATTGCCATTTGGACTTCATTTGGACAAATTTAAAGGTGATTTTCTCAATATTTCGATTTTTTTGCACCCTCAGATTCCAGATTTTCAAATAGTTGTATCTAGGCCAAATATTGTCCTATCTTAACAAACCATGCATCAATGGAAAGCTTAACTATTTTCAGAAGATGTATAAATCTCAATTTCGAAAAATTTACCCTTATGACTGGTTTTGTGGTCCAGTGTCACATACAGGTTTTCAGCTGTCGAAATTAGGGATGCACAATATATTGGTACCATTTTAGTTATCGGCCTATACAATTATATACTGTATACAGTTTACCTTATATACCTAATATTAATAATTTATAAATGCAATCATTTTTAATCATTTAATCTCTAAATGAATATCCATTTTTCACAGTGTACATTATAATTTTGTGAGGCCTAAATTCACTTGAAGCATTTAAAACAAGTTATTTTAGTGTTTTATTTACAATCTATTGAGAACAGTACATAATTGAATGTTATTGTTTATTGGCCAAAACATGGAAATAATTATCTCATTGTGTTAGGTAGAATTTTAATATTAGTGCTTCAGTAATAAACTTCAAATTAAAAACACAACATCAGTTAAAATGAAATAATTCATAATACACCAGAACAGACGGAATAGAGAAACCATTGAAATATTTTGAGAGCTCTTAACTCAATATTACAGACTGACAGAGTTAACAAAAGTTAATAAGGTTCTTTATTCAAATGTAACGAGACAAAACGGAAAGAGAAGAGCTTTTCTGGTTCTTTAACTCCTTTGAGATCCATCTGATATATGCAGCTCTGGCCTTGATGAACTCATTGTCTAATCATAATGATGCACCGAGCCAGTTCTTTCTGGCTGAGCAAATTCAATCCAATGTGCCTTTAGAACTATTCCTTCCAGCATCCCACAATTCCAGCAGCTTTAACTGGCCCTCTGAGGCACAAAGGACACAATCATTTTTTGATTCATATTCTGAGTTCAAACCTTTCACTAATTTTATGAATGAGAGGATCGGAAGCCTGTGTAAGGAATGCAGCGTGCTTTCATTAACCTTCTCAATCATGTGAATGCTATTTTTCCCTTCACCATTTCAATGTCAAACCAATTACTGCAGCCTTATAAGTGGTAAATGAAAGGTAGCCCATGACTGAATACAGATGTAAGCTCAGGCATCTGTCTTTGTGTGCATGTGTGAAAGATGCCTGTAGTAAACAACATGTTGTGAGTCTGCATATGTTGGGAGGAGAAACGTTTCACTTAGTTGTTTTGCTATTTTTGGGAAGCTTGGCTTGACATTGCCAATTTCACACACCGGGGAAACTAAATAGACACTGGTGCTGCAAAGTAAACACAAGATAACTGTGGATAACACTTCACACACGCATCCACGGCACAAACGAACACAAATTTTCTTTGACCAAAACCGTTATGCCACCTTTCCATGACCAACCATCTGGCCTCCCAGACGACACTCACCCACATCAGTATCTTCAAATACTATATCAGATTTTTGTTGGCCTTCTTGATCTTTTCATTCAGTGCCAGCCCAATATAAGACATTCATTAAAGCTGCTCCTGATAGCCGCAGTGATTATATTCTGTTTATGTGACGGATAGTTAATGAAACACAGGGTTCACGCTGGAGACGCTTGATTGAGTGGTCTTTGCAATAAATGTTTATTAGTCAGTCGGTGGGCTGGTAATGACAGTTTGTCTGCACCTGTGTCCAGTTTTTCTGCAAGATTTAATAAAATGTCACATCCTTTGGATGGAAATATTTGTATCATTTGGTCTTTTGACTCATGAGAAATTTTCATCCATTTTGAGATCCAAACGTTTGACTGGTACTATAAACAGAACTATAAATATTATTATCATTAAAAAAAAATCAAGTGATTATTTTTTTTTGTAATAATAAAAATAGTATTAGTAGTATAATTCGAATTCTTGTTAATTTTGTTGTTATTTTTATCATTTCACTTTTCAATCCTTATAAGAACAATGTAGGAATTAATATAGAATCAAATCCTGTATTAAATAAATTATACATTCATATGGAAATAGTCTTTTTCAACAAAAAAGGAAATTACACATACCATATTTTAAGTAATCCATAGTCAAAGACTATATATATATATATATATACGGTATGTGATAACACTTTACTTAAAGCCTTTATGTATGATGCATTATAAAAGTATTATGCCTTGAATAAATGTAACCACAGTTTATACATTATAACACTTATCAATTCATTGTTTCACTATGCATTTTAAATTTGGTTATAATTATTTATGACAAGATATAATGTATTACATCATACATTATGAATAATTCTAATGCATTATACCCTTTAATAACATTTTATAATGCATTTTACATAAAGGCTTTAAGTGTTACTACACATATTAATGCCTTATTCTGCATAACCATATTTTGGATCCCTTAATCCATCCCATACCTAAACTTAACAACTACTTTACTAATTATTAATAAGCAGCAAATTAGCAGTTTTTTCAGGGAAAACTCTTAGTTAATAGTGAATGTGTCCTCTATTCTAAAGTGTTACCATTAAACTTGATAAAACAATGGCTTTTGCAATGAAATATTGTTGTGTAACAGTGGCACTGTTATGTGAAGTGGCCCCTGTGAGACTAGACACATTTACTTAAGTGATGGATGGATGACAAGACAGTCCTAATTTATTTTCACTGCCTCACCTTGGAAAGATTTTAATAATTCCTCAAAGGTTGACGTTATCTTAAAGTAGCACGGTTTTGAGTGGCAATTTCTTTTCATTCAGATCTGGGAATGTCAACAAAAATGGAGCAGATTATATTACATGTATGGAATAAAGGCATAAAGATTAATCAGCTTGTGCTGCCTGCTCCCCACAGTTGAAGTGCAGAGTTAAGAAAATATGACCCTCGTAATAATCGGTCTTCTGGGCGCTGTGTGCGTGGCGTGAACATGTAGATTGTGTGGAGTGAGCACTCGTTGACCTCATTCTGCAGATGAACTCAGGAGATGATGGAAAGAGAGGGAGGAGGTAATTGTTTTATGTTAAAAACAATGTGTTCTCTTTCTGCAACAAGGATGAAACCAATAATTACAAAGTGAGAGCAAGAAGAAGAAATAAAAGAGTCCGATGGAAGGTTGATTTGGTAATTAAGCTAAAATGTTATACATCAGCACAGTTTGATGTGTACAAATCTATTCGATTGTTTGATGTGAAACATATTATATTATATTATATTATATTATATTATATATGTGATATGTGTTCCAGAAACACTGTCACTGTTCATTAGTTAAAGGGATTTTTCAATGACTCTTTCTGCTGGTTATATCATTACATCTTTATGAGTTTGTCACTGAATCATTCATTTGAATGATTTGTTCAAAATCACTGATTCATTTGGAAATTAAACAAGTGACTGTCTTTATAAATTGCTCACTGAATAATTTAGTCAATCGATTCATTTAAAACAATGATTCTGCTTTGGCTTCATTTGGAAGTATTTTCATTTGCAGAGTAAAAATAAAAAAATAAAATAAAATAATTATATTATATTTAGCATAATATAATTGTATAATTTTAATATACATTATAGCCACAACTGCAGCATGAAAAGAATGATTCATAAAGTACATTTATAAAGATTTTGCCTAAATGTAATTTCACAGCCATGCACCAAGTGTGACATGAAAGGCATGTGTAATCAGCTTCAGGGGTGTGAAAAGAAGATTTGTGTGCATTTGACTGGAGCGTAGCAATACTAGTTTCTAATTTCCCACCCGCTTTCCTGAGGATCTGCATCATCCCTGCCTGCTGCTGAGTTTTCTCAATGCCATTTTCTTCATATAACAGGATGCCATTACCAGCCCAAGGCGATAAAGCTATATTGTTTGCTCAGAAATAGGAACCGTGCTGTATCATATTTCGAAGCAAAAAAAAAAACAAGATTTGGAGTGGAGATATTTTTTAAAAGACATTGCTTAAAGGGGTCATATGATGCGATTTCAATTTTTCCTTTATCTTTTGAGTGTTACAAGCTCTTGGTGCATAAAGAAGATCGTCTAGGTTACTTGTGTAACCCTCGTTCCCTGAAGGAGGGAACGGAGACGTTACGTCAGTGACTGACGAATTGGGATCTCGCCCGAGAGCCCAATCACCTTCGAGTGTTAACTAAACAAGCCAATGACAGTTGGCGTGCGTGTTTCGCCACGCGCACCCCGCCCCGCAGGTATAAAAGGAGAGCGCATGACCGATAAGCATCGTAAAAATCGACGCGTTTCAGAAAGGCGGGGCATAGAGGAGTATGTACAGTATGTGGAAAATAATGTGTTTTTTTATCTTAAATCGCATAAACACATTTCATTACACCAAATACACAAAATAATGTTCTTTTTAGCAGCATCATATGACCTCTTTAAGATCTTAAGACCTTCTGACGTTCTCTGTCGAACTCCTTTATTGTAGGTGATACTGGAGTTTGACATCAATCATCCTGCACATCTTTCATCTCTTAAGGCCTTATACTAGTGTTTTTTTCTAATTGTGATGGAAACAAATCTTAATTGTGAGCTCCAAGCTTCACAGCACCACATCAAAAACACTTAATTTTCCTTGTGTACTCGCACTGTTTTAAATCCAAAAGCATCCAACAAACTTGACAGACCGAATGTGTTATTTCTGAGAAAACCAA